AGTCCCAGCTACTTGGGAGGCTAAGGCAGGAGAATCACCTAAGCCCAGGAGTTGGAGGTTGCTGTGAGCTGTGATGCCATGGCACTCTACCCAGGGCGATAAAATGAGACCCTGTCTCTAAAAAAAAACCCAAGGGTTTCCCACCTTCACAAGTTCAGTCACCATATTGGGCACCGTGGATTCTAATGAGAAGAGATGCCAAGAAAAAGTATAGAAAAGTCATATTAGATTCTGGGATCCTAAGACTGGAAGTGTCCCTGCTGAAAAAATGTGATGAAATGACTGTACCCCACCCGACAGCTCCCTACACAGACGCCCTCCTACTGATGAGCCGAGACCAGTCCTGGACACACTTCCCTTCACACTTGTGTTCACCTGCTCAGGCCTCGTCTTCTCTGGTGGGCCCCGAGTCCATTAGGGTAGGATTGCTGTTGGTTCTGTTCACTGTAATACCCTCCTTTTTAAAATTCACAGACTTTATCTTTTAGAGCAGTTTTAAGTTCACAGCAAAACTGAGTGGAAGGTTACAGAGATTTCTCACATGCCCCCTGGGCACAGACACACACACACACACACATACACACAGCCTGTTACCAACCAGCCCCACACAGGGTCCCTTTGTTAAACTGATGAGCCCATAATGACATGTCATCATCACCCAGAGTCTATAGTTTACCTTAGGGGCCACTCTAGGTGCTGTACATTCTGTGGGCTTGGAAAAATGTATAATGATATGATGTGTCCACCATTATAGTATTTTACAAAGTAGTCTCACTGCCCTAAAAATCCTGGCCTTGCTGGGTGGCTCAGGCCTATAATCCTAGTACTCTGGGAGGCCAAGGCAGGAAGATAGATTGAACTCAGGAGTCAAGACCAGACTGAACAAGAGCAAGACCTCACCTCTATTAAAACAGAAAAATTAGCCAGGTGTTGTGGAGGGCATCTGTAGTCTCGGCTACCTGGGAGGCTGAGGCAGGAGGATCACTTGAGCCCAGGAGTTTGAGGTAGCTGTGAGCTATGATGATACCACTGCACTGTAGCCTAGGGCAACAGAGTGAGTCTCGGTCTCAAAAAACAAAAACAGTCCCCTGTGCTCTGTCTATTCATTCTCTTCCTCCCGACCCTGACAACCACTGACTTTTTTTACTGTCTCCACAGTTCTGGTTTTTCCAAAGTGCCACAGATTGGAATCAGCACACAGCCTTTCAAATTGGCGTCCTGCACTTAGTAACACACAGCGAAGTTTCTTCCTTGCCGTCTCATGGTTCAAGGACTCATTTCCCTTTACTGCTAAATAATATTCCACTGCCTGGAACACGCCCATTTTTAAACACATTTTCCCTATTGTAGATGCTCAATTATTAATCACTAATTAAATCAACTGGCTAATCAAACAATTAATTAATGGTATACGTCTACTTCTGCCAAGATTGTAGGGAGTCTTATTGTCCAGATTATAAACTCTGGAATTATCCTTAGTCTAATCCTAAGCAGATGTGCCTTCCCGAGTCTTTGCAGAACCAAATCTAGCTCCAGAATCCTCAGGCTGTAATGAGCTGGAGCTGTGCTCTCCAACAAGGCAGCCGCTGAATTTAAATAAT